TAATTAAATATTTCGGACCATTTTTTTATGCAGTTGGTTCCCCCATTATTGTTTTTGAAACACCACGGTTTATTTGACAAAAATAAATTAAGCAAAACAAAGAAATAGCAATCGTTAGCTTCAAGGTCAAGCTATCCGCTTGCACTGACAATCATCTGCTCTTGCTCTTTACACAACTGATGTCTGCTGTGCACTTGATATTTCACAACAGTTTGTGATTGGGTGATTAGTAACCATGGCAACTTGTTGAATGTGTGGATAAAGAGAAACCAAAGAAAGAATAGAAGAACAAAGAAGAAAGAATAAGCAGTGTTTTTCGTCATCCATTGTTATCTTTATCATATTTTACACCTGTCGTTATTATCTTTAAGACTAAGTACTATGATTTTATGCTGTTTTATGAGTTATCTAAGGTTTTTATCGACATTCTTAAGTTCTGAAACAATATGTAGTAGTAGCCTATGCTGACTACGGTAGCAGTAGCTTGCAGTACTAGACTTTATATTGTTCTGTTCTTTACGTGATTTATTGCTGTAAGTACAGTGTTGTGTAATTTTTGTTTTGCTTGAGTAAGCGTGATTTTAAACGTTACAGTTTTTATTACTGAACCAAGGTTAATGAATTTACATATCTAGATTGTGCAATACTATTATTTGTATTTTGATTATTTAAAATGCACTACAGCCGGATAGTCCGGCCAATGGTCCGGTCCCGAGGTGGCCGAACTAGAGGGAGTCTACTGTATTTCGGTTTTAAAAATACAGATTTGTTTCAAGACTTAATTTGCACACTGTATAATTACAGTTGTAACAACAATGCCACTCAAACTGAGTACCCATTCTCATTCGCCTGATTGGATTTTCACTTATAATCAATTAAAATAAAAATTTGCTTTAAAAATTTTCACATCAATTAAAATGTTATTGGGTTTAACGAGTACCTTAGTTTACTGCTACAGGGAAGGTAATAAAGTGCATGTTTTAGTAAAATATATAAAGCTTAGTATGAAATAAATTTGCCAAGTTTGATCTGATCAAAATACTTCCATATACAAGTAAACTACAACAGTTTACTTTACTGTGTAAAAATCTAAAAATAACATGTGAATTTAAAATTTACATTTTTTGAAAAAAATTTTTCAACCTCTTACAAATTGTTAATGTGTTGAGGGTAAAATATTTTTAAAAAACTAATTTTAACCCCAAAAAACCTAGTTCTTGTAATGCTGGTTCGTGAACTTGTTTGAATAGATGTAGGTTTACACGTTTGTAGTAAATTTCCTCAAAATAGGATCATTTTTGCTCGACTTATCGTGCTAACTATATATAGGCCTATCAGAAAAAATAGTTATTAATGCTACTATTTTAATATTTAAACACATTTTTAATCTGAAGACCCTTTAAGAATTCATTTTATTATATATATAAATTTGAACGGATGGTGTTTTTGGCCTTGGGGGACATCAAAACAAAAAAGTAAATCAGTCCTGGGTCTAGGTCATACCATGAGACAAACCTACGGTAATAGCTTATTCCTTATATGAGAAATTCACTAAAAAACACCTCATAATTCAGTGAACAATGAACATAAAATATCCAAGGCAATGAAAACATTAACATAATGTGTACTTTTGTTACACTAATCATAGGACAATGGAAATGCTAAACTTGTGAGGTAAATCAACCATCCAATACCTTCACCAGCTCTAAACTAAATAACTAACCTCCAATTATGTACAGCAAAACTTAACACTTGCATGAACAGACAAAGGCAAGATGAAAGCAGGCTACAAACATAACCCAGTCCTCAACCATGCAACCAACCGCATTACCAGTGTTTCACCTCAAAATTGTTGAGCTTTAGCTCCTGCCAACTCCGAAGATGGGAACTCTCTCATCAGTAACAAAATCCAGAGACCCTTCAACCTTAGCTTTTAAAATTAATTCCTTCTTAACTAAAAACTTTAGGACTATAGCCAGTGAATTATCTAGACCCTTAGTCTTGTGTGTGTATATAAAATATGATTTTGCAGTGAATGGAAGGTTGGCATTTCTACACTACAATTGGAATTTTACTTTTGATTTTGAACTCATTGGGTATAATGAAAACTGTATACCAAAAAAGACTAATTGTAATTGTAACCTGCTACTGCTATCCTAATAAAAATATTAAAAAAAGGCTAATATATATTGAGGGAACACCTGTTATTTTTACAGGTTTATTGACATCTTAACATTAAAAGTGTAGCAACATTTACTAACCAGAAATTTTCAGCTTGGCTGTTTTATTTTTTAGTTCTTCAAACTCTGAGACGGCCTTGTCAACGTCATACTCCTCTTCAAACTTGAGTGTGTTCTGTTTGCCTGTGTTGTTCTTGTTCTGCTGCGCCTGCCCTGAGCCCGGGGCTCTGTTGAAGTTTCCTGGTGCTCCGCCTCGACCACGACCTCTCATGCCAGGACCACTGCCTCGACCACCTCGGTTCACCCAGCCTCCTCGGTTCTGCTGACCCCTGCCACCTTTTTGCTGACCCTGTAAATAACCCCACTATCACCATGGAGTTTTCAACAAACTTAAATCCAGAAATTTAAATTCAAGGACAGATTTTGATCCAATCAACCCCTCTACTGAATTATCAATCCAGTTGAATTTATTACAGTTCAATTTAACATCTTATTACCATTTTTAACACAGTACAACTCCTCTGTATCCTTATTACACTTGCAGATAAAAAGGAATTTGAGAATTTTTGCAAAACAGTAATCATAGTAAACAAAATAGTAAGTGTCATTGTGCCTGGTTTAAATTTAGCAGTATGCATTTTTATATTGGTATAACACTTTTCTTTGCATTGTTTTAGGTTGCCTTCCCACTGGGTCGCAGCCACGCTTGTCCCTTCCCACACGGTGGCTGTGACTTTCTCACTAACCTCGTGTATTGTCCCATTGGTCAAAATGGATTCGAGTGATGAGGAACTCCTGCTTGTGCTTTTGTTATGTAAGGTGGAGAAGAAAACAAAAAATTTGGATGCATCCAATTCTTAAGAGTAGGCAAGACAAAGGCTTATATTTTACTTTATTTGATGAACTTAGCGTGCATGGAGAGAAGTTTTTTAACTTCTTCAGTATGTCTTAGAGTTAGTTAAGGACCTTCTTGGTTACATTAAAGGAGATTTAACTGGGATGAGACGACAAACAAGCTGCGCGCACACCACCAAGAGCTAGTAAAAAGCTAAGCACGCATCCCCAAGAGCAAGGTCGCAGCCATCTAGTGGGAAGGGCTAGGTATACTACAATAGCCTGCTACGAGTTGGGTTGATAAAAATGCACGGTGGAAGCCACCGACAAGCAACGCAGTTCTTCGGCGACCGAGTAGCTGCCACTGAGGTGGGTCGCTGCGACCTGATAGTGAGAAGGGCTCCATAAGACACAATGTAATTTTACAGTTCTGGTCGCTGACGGGTGGCTGCGACCCAGTGGATGCATTCAGTTGTTTTTCCACCCATTTTATATGATGGCATGTGAACATTAAACAATTTTATGATTACAAATTAGATTTGGTTTTACTTGTAAGACCTATGTAGTTGCATGAAATATTTTGAAGGATGGGACTGGGACCGTGGCGTCGTCCTGTAATCCAGCTACTTTGAGGTCTTGAATTGTGGATATTTGTATAAGCATTATCTGTGGATGTGATAAGCCCAGGTAAGTATTAACATCCATACTAGTTAGTACTACGACTATCCGCAGTACTATCCTGATAATTAGACCAATTCGTAAATTACAAGGGAAAAATGTGGTTCAGATTCCATAATAATTAAGTATGACACAAGCTGCCACACATTTACAAAGAAACAGTTTAATAACAAGCAAAATACTGACTGGGAAGGATTCTCTCCTGTTGTCCGGGTCCCTGCGGTCGTGTGAACCTTGCCGTTGCATCCTGTGGTCTTCTTTGAGTGCATTATTCTGACCACGATCCCTAAAGTACCCATCTCTCTGGTTCCTATCTCTATACTCTCCATCCCTCTGATTCCTGTCCCTGTAATCATTGTCCCTTGGTCAATGTTGGAAAAAAAAAAAATGTTGGACAATACCTGATAATCGGGTAGCTGTTGGAAACTACAAAACTAACAGTAAATGGTCAAGATTCCCGGCAGAATTTATAAACAGTATTGGCTGTTTCTTCGGTTATATACTATTTTTGCCAATGAGTTCACCACCTTCACGGCAGTTATTTAAAATACCTTATCACCATTATATAATAAACAATTGAGTTTTGAGCAAGATTAACTTCTAAATTATATTTTAAATTCACAAACCAATTTTACCGTGCAAACTCATCATCCTCCCCACTTGTTTCATATTTTATGCCATCCACACAACATTAGAAGGTAAACTTCTTAGCAGTTAAGATAAGTTTTTACCTAGTTCTGTGACACAACTTGGGAAAACATTTGCCTTATATCCCAATCTATTTTTATATTGAGGAACACATATCCTGCTATGTTAATAATTAAAACTAAGAAATATGTCCTCCACAAATTCCATGTGGGATATTTAGCAGTAAAAATGTATCAGTAAGTAAACCAAAAATTACAACAAATAGATACAACACATTACTAAATTCAATGTTGTACATAATTCATTAAGACGTTTTACATAAACGGATAGTTAGCTGAAAATAGATAAACTAACTCACCCATCACGAGATATTGGGGGCTGGATAGGCTTCTTGTCCTTGTTGGGTGAAACTTGGACACCTTGGTCGTTGGTGGGAGACTTACGAGACAGAGACGGTGTGGACGAGCGAGAGCCAGACAGCAGCTCTAGAACAGACACTGACACTGAACCTCTAGTCGCACTTAACCCTAACTACTTGCAGAAACAATTATCAAGTGTTGGTAGGACAGTAGTAAATAATACATAACTGTGCTTGAGGGGTTTTGTATATGAAAATGCATAACGTTCTTTATAGGAATTCAACAAATTCGGAAAGTTTAAAAACATGAACCTAGCCTATTTACAACGCCTAAATCAATTTCTTATACTTTTAAGAAATTGTAAAAAAAGGGCCCATAAGGTCAGCAACTTGAATCTACATGCTTAATTGAAATGACTTTCATGAAATTAATTAAGCCACATAAAACAAACTGTTTTAAGCTACATAACAGTTAGCTGAGAATCAATTAGTGACAATTTATATAAAACAAGATGTTGTTAAATGTTGCAGCTAAAATTTATTTTGTGCAGTAACCTAACTTACCATTTATCAATCTTATTTTCATATGTAAATGAAAGCCAATTCATGGAAGTCAATTCATTTAAGTGCAACAAAAGGCAAGATGAATATTGTTGGGTTTGGTAAATTTACAATCAATAAAAACAAACCAAATTCTATACTTTCAATACCAACAAAATTCAAGGCCCTACTAATCATGCACAAATAAGCTGAAAAACATTACAAATAGGCAAATATATGTCCAGTTTATGGTCCAAATAGTAACAAATGTATTCATTGTAAACAAGCAATCACTCTAAAGTACTCATTGTAAACAAGCAATTACTCTAAAGTACTTTCAACTCATCTAAAACATGCACAAAACAACGCAAACCAAGCAGAGCCGAAGCGTGTGGGTGAGCTGGTGGCAAAGCAGAATCCATGCGTCCATGCTCATTATTGAAAATTACAACGTACCGCTGTTGGGCTCTTTTACAATAGGGATGACCAGCCCTTGGACCTGAACCTGAGGAGGTGGCTGATGTGTCGGTGGTGGCTGGTGGGGAGGGGGGTGCTGGAGATGGCTGTCTGGCAACTCACTTGACAACGGCTGATGACCTACAGTCCGACCAACCCCTGGGGCCCTGTAGCCGCTGTACTGGGGCGGCATCGAAGGCATCGTGTGATTAAAGCCAGGCTGACCTGGGTAGTTGCCACTGCCGGTGGACATCTCTCCTGGGCCCATGCCCATCACCTGTGATAAAATATCACTATTGAATATATTTCTTTTTTTTTAATTCCGTGTTTTTGTGAACTCCTATAATTTCTTAGTTACACATCATTAAGACCTTTGGGAGCTGTGTTGGTTTAAATGCACAATGGCTCTCTGGTGGTACAAATACAAACTGGGACTGGTCAAAAATTGTGTCTTGTAGGAAAACATATCTAATGTAAATTTGGATTTGGATAGCATCCGTTAAGTAAGTGACAGCCCAAAATTATGTGGCACTTATTTTTTTGAATATTTTGGGAAACATTTCAACATGTTTTCTAAAGTAGACAAACGGATCAAAAATGTGTCTCTTTTGCTCTGTTACTCGATAAAATAGTATAGGCCTAATAATATCAAAAAGCTATTGTAATATAATATACCAAGTAAGCAATGAATTTAGGTAAGACTGTAATCATTTGGACTAAGTTATTGCTGCTGGTTAGTGAAGTAGTCAGTTCACAAATTAATTTATTACTCTCTGTCCATCTATGTATTTTAATATGACCACGTCTGATTTCTTAAGATAGTCTTTCTTCTATAATATAAATTAAATTATTGAATAGTTCTAGTTGGCCTATTTCTAAAACCAATGCGTAGAATGAAACTTGAAGAAGGTATTGGTAAAATGTCCAATTTTATTAGCCCGGTTTGGACTTTCCCTTACTCACCACAATTAAAAAATATGTTATAAGTATGCATTCAGTTCCTTTGTAACAACAGCAACGGTTGTCTAAATAACATACTTGGGAATAACATAGAATAAAAGTTCTAACGAATAGCAATATTTGTTAGTTTTTTATGGCTAACTTCTATTTTATTCGTTAGTTTTTTAAAAGTGCTGGAAATAACTTCTACTCAGTTAGATTGATAAGTAACGAATATATAATATATTCGTTGGTTTTAAATCGTTTGATTTTTGGTCAGGTGGAAGTATCTCAAATACGGGTTACTTATTTTACGTGATCAGTGAGGGTTGTGTGCGGCCGTGAGAGGTCAGCGCCCTTGTTGACAAACAACACGGGGGTGGGGAAAGAGAAAGTCAAAGTCCAGTAGCTTTGGTATGCAGTGGGCCAGTGGAAGGGCAGTGACTGCCAATAACAACACCCCAAGCACCGAGGAGTGGGAAGAGGGAATGTTTGTTTGGTGTATAATCTCAAGTGTCAAAACATTGTCCTCAGTTGATGTTCATTATCTGACAGTAAGTTTTAAGTCATTTGTTTCTGTTTTAGTAATCTAAAATGTGGCAAATTTTTATTAAAACACAATTAGTTACCAAGATGTGTCATGATTTCATTACATACGAAATCTATTAAAAAACTGCCCAACAAACCAGGACTACAAACATACAACGGCTAGCCCAGTCCTTTGAAGTGAACGCGTGCCGCCTGATGCTGCCCCCCCTCGTCCCACGCACCCCACCTTCTACCGCTGTGACGTAGCAGTGGGAGCTGCCAATAGACACTGCCATTGTTACACGTGCTTTTACGCCTGCAGTTATCTTCTATTTATAACGTTTTTACATAGAAATATGATATTGTTTGGTTATGATATTATTTTACACGTAATAGTAGTTTCATATCATGTAGTTTTAAAGAGTATTTTACACCACCAGTGAGTGTGGGCTGCAGTGTTGCAATTTGTAGGAACCGCTCTAATACAACAAAAGATGTAGTGTAGGCTAAGTTTGAGAAATGTGTGGGTACAGAAGTGTAAGAGAGCTGATGTTTTCGATCCCAAAAATGGTAGTGTGCAATGAAAAGTTTTTGGAAAGTGATTATTTAGACGATTTAAAACCCCAACTTCTCGGATAATACTAATGGAAGGTGCCTAATTTAGAATATAAGTATATAATATAGGTAAATTATCACCCACCTTAGAATATAGGTAGTGATTGTTAATGAAAGAAAAATAAGGAAAGTAAAATGGGGAATTAGAAAAACTGCTCTTGAAACAATAAAATCTCTTAGCCCAAAAAAAGTAGCACGCGTAAAACAATCAATACGCCAATTACTAGCCCAAATAACAGTCGTATCAAACAAATGATTTTATAAACTTATTTTTAATTCATTCCTTTCTACATAACATCACCTTTCAGGAAAAAGTTGAATTTTTATTGAGTTGTAAACGTGTGCATACGTGAAGTTTACTGAAATTACGAAGAAATAACCTAACCATTATTGTTCCTGGTGATTAATTTAAAAATCCTGTAAACAATAGGTCTAAATGAAAATGTCTATAATAAAATGTTATTTGTGTTTTGTACCAACTGTATGTGTGTTTTATTCACTTATTTCATCAAAAGAAACTGAGGTTAGTGTAAGCATAGAACTTGAATCACTCTAATTAAGTTATTAAGCTGAACAGATTATTTAATTTAGGCTACAAATACATAATGTTTGTATTTTATTTGCATATCACAATTTACTGTTAAAATGTTAGGGCAGATAAATATACTAATTGTTTCTTAGTTAATTATTTTATAACAATTGCACTAATTCTATGAATATCGCCTATTTGACAGTATTGCTATTATTTCTGTATTTTAAAAAAATTATTGTATTATCATATAGGTAACTGTCAATAAATACGTTATGAAAAACCGATATAGTCATCAATCTGGATTATTAGAACAAAATTCACGACAGAGCGAGCGCAAACACAGGTATGAGAAACTGTACTGCTGCACGAGACACCTCCCGCTGCTACGTCACACCCGCCCGCAAGGGGAGGGGGGCTGGCATCACTTTTCGAGCGCTAGTGGGTTAGCCCTTCTATGTTTGTAGTCCTGCCAACAAACAGCTAACTTCTACAAAAACTAACTTTATTTTCTATCAGTTCGTTTTTAAACTAACTAATAACTTCTATCAGTTACTTTTAAAACTACTTTTTAGTTACTTTTAATTAATAACTTCCATCGGTTACTTTTTACGGGACTAACTACCTAATAACTTGTACTAGTTAGGATTTTTGACTAACTTCCCCAAATATGCTAAATAAACGGTATCAGCATTCTGACACATACTTTCTCCCACAAGCTTGTCAACAACCTTTATCATGGGTAAGCGGTGAGAGTAAATTATGATATTTTACAGTTAAAAATCACAAAAGTTGCAATAACTTTTGAATAGTAATTGTTGCAGCAATGGGTAACAATTACGTTTAAGTTGTTGGATTAGAGCTATTGTACTATTTTTTTAGAATTATTATATGGACCATAAACATATTAATTTGGATCAAAACCAGCTTTTCTCCAAAAATCTGATTTTTTGTCATTTTATTGTTTTTTTATGGGGAAATAACATAAGTTAAAATAAATTTTGAACCATTATTTTTATGGAAATGGGAATTGTACCATTTTGTTCAGAATTTAAAGGACAATAACATAGGTACTAAATATTTAAGAAAATAGTTCAGGCCATTTTTGAGAAAATCCGATTTCTCCCTAAAATAAAGCATTGTGTCGTTTTTATTGAGACTAAGTCTGCTGATTTTTTAAACCAGATCTTTAGTTTATAATTATTGTTAAGACAAATTCATGTCCAATTATAACCTTGCTAACAGTAAATAGGCCTGTACTTACGATAGCCGGATCATCAGGAAGCTGTTGTGTATTAATGATCCTGATGTCCTTGATGTCTGTTCTTCGGAACAGAACATATTCGTACACCTCACTCTGTGCGGGCACTCGGTATTGCGCCTGCCTGTCTTCTGTACCAAACGAGCGCACTGCATAACAAAAAGTAATTAATGAGGAATTAAAAATTAAACATAGAAAACAATTTTATTTCTTCAGTAGGCCTACACAGGTCCTTCTAAAATATCATTGTGATTTGAATAGCTCAATAGTTTTAATGCCACAAGCGTTGATAGCAAAAGAAAAAAATATTTTAAGAAAATAGTGTAGCCTATAGGTAGTAAGTACTCTAGCTTTTCCTTGTTTAACTAGCGTGTCAATACAATACATTTTTTAAACACATCCTTGCAATAATAGCCACTATTTCAATTAAGTTTAAGCTTTCTTTTAACCTTACGTAACATAACTTTCAATGCCAATTACAAATGGCAAAAATTGCCAGTTTTACAAATCCCCCTATTTAAGGTTTTAACCCATGAATAAAATTAAATAATAATAAATACATACACAGCACTGTAATACATATACAGAAACTGATACTTTAAAATAAAGCAAGACAGTTTTTAAAAGCCACTATACTTATCCCGAACATTGGCATGTAAACTTAGGATACCATGCTAAATGTTGGATTTAGTTATATCACACCATTAGGCCTATGATATACCCTTTTTTTGGAATCTTCTCTGTAGACATTAGGCACATGACAAAACTTCAACATACTAAATTATTTGTTCTTTTAAGCTCCCAAAAATGGTTTTTTATGATAGAAAAGGGGAAAACCCCATTTTAACGCCATGGCATAAAACCCCCGTTCCCATCATGCTGGTTTGCGAACTCGCTCGAATAAGCGTAGGTTTACACGTTTGTACCAAATTTCATCAAAATCGGATTACTTTTGTTGGAGTTTTTGTTTTAACGGACACACACACATAGGCTATATATATAAAAGGCTGATTTTTAACAATTTTTGCGATTTTCAGGGTGAAATAGGCGTTTGTCCTTAAAGTGCCAAATGTAAAAAGTGTTCAAAATAGGCCAAATAATGAGAAAAAACATTTTTTTCAAAATTCTTAAGAAGCCCCTAAAGTAAACAAATACCCTATAGGCCTATAGGTGTATATGAATTTGAACGGATTGTGTTTTTGGCTTCTAGAGACCTCAAAACGATAAAGTAAATCAGTCCCAGGTCCAGGTCTTGTCAGGAGTACTATAATATGAGAAATTTGATAAAATTATTGTAATAGGCATATATTTAAATATTACAATCATTAGATTTCTCTCCAAGAACAAAATAATTTACCTATGCCTTTGAAATGCATTGTAGGCCTACTGATGCTGCTTTGGGATTCTGCAGAGAACCTAGGCTTTTAAGTTAATAAAATATCAAATTACATATTAGTCTGCCTACTTTGATCAATCATAAGTTATATCATTGACTATTGGATGCAGAAGTAGACATCCCATCTATATGGACCAGCTGTGTTCTAATTTTTTATTAAAAAAGAACGTAGTAGTGTGAGCCAGTCACAGAATGTGCTACCAGTGGTGTCTGAATTTCTATTTTATACCTTATTTTTGGTTGCTGACCAGGTTGATGGGTCATAACAGGTTGTTATAAATAGCTCACCATAAGTCATTCCCTAAGGTTGACTTTGTAAAAAAGTTTGTGTATGTGACAGAATTTAGTAATTTAGATCAGCGCAATCTGTAGGTGGCTCACATCAACTACAACAGTTTTGATAAAAAAGATGGCTACAAATTTAACATGGGGATGTAATGTCTAAAGTCAAAGGTTGCAGGGCCGTCCCTAGGGTTGGCGGCGCCCGGAGCAAACGTAGTTGTGGCGCCCCTCCCCTCCAGTAATAATAGTCGCATTCACATATTTTAATAGGTGGTACTATGTTAATACAAATAGCCGCTGTGCGAATACCCTCAACTCGCTGTGCGACGCCCCCCTCAGCCACGGCGCGCGGGGCAGCTTGCCCTCCCCTTCAGACGGCCCTGGTTATATGTATCGGATGTAGTTTTTATGCGATATACATATGGCAACTTAATTAATTTATGCAGAATATGAATATTTAAATTAAATTTAAACTATGCAGTCTTTTTGACAAGACTTTTTCACACAGTGCAGCGGTGGTAATTTAAGGTTGGGTAGGTTTTTTTTTAAGATAGTTCAGCTTAGTTTAACTTAATTTGAAATCAAGGCAAACAAGGAATGTTTACCATTCCATTTAACTTTAAAAAAATTAAAGATGAAAGCCTAACTAAGTTTTTTATGTTACCGGTACTTTCTATAGGCTACCTACCTATTTTTTTTAAGAGAAGTTAAATTTACAAAACGTCAAATTGTGTCCTTTTTCAAACTAGTTAACTTTTTTCCCCTCAACTCCCTTTTTCTATTTCTGTTTTGGGTTGGGTCTCTTAAGAAGGCCTGCCACTTGTACAGTGCAATGCAGATTTTAGGCTAGGTTAGTTTATGATAACAAACAAGGTGCCATTTAACTTCATCTTAGGTGCTCTTGATCCGATAACTGAGCGAAACTCTTTGAGATCAGAACTTATGCAAACTATGTAATCAGATAACTCAATAACGCCTGAACATATTAAAAAAGCCTTACTTTCCAGGGTTATTTTGACAAACAGTGAACATGATATTAAACAAATTGCTACAGTAGAACCTCTTTAATCCGAACCCCCGTAATCCAAACGTCCACTAATCCGAACCCCTCATTGCTGTACTCTATACACAGTACGGCAGTTCTTTATTGTATACTGTATTTAATTTACAGTAGGCTACTGTTTATTCACCATGTTTACTACTGTATTAAATAAACACTGTATTTTACTTTATAAAACATTTTTTTTCACTTTTCCCAAAATGATGTTGATCAATTTTAGCTATTATGTAAAAAAAACAATATGTTCTGTAATCCGAACTATTCAATTGTCCGAACTACCCCTGGTCTCAATTAGTTCGGATTAAAGAGGTTCTACTGTATTAGTTTTGTACCAAATATTGGTTTAAATAGGCAACAGTAAAAGAAAATCTTTGTTAACTTATTGAAAATACACCCTGCATTTATAAAGCACAAATTCTGTAGTAATTACTTTTTTAAAAATAAGCATTTTTGAAAAAGTAATTTGAAGTGTTTTTCTCAGGATTTTAATTTTACAAAAACAGTCTGCAGGCTACATAAACTAACAACTTGATAGGCCTACATTAATAACCTATACTTTACCTTCCTAGTCTAACATAACTTCAAAACACTTAATGCAGTCACCAATTCGCATAAAGCACGACCAACCACCCTGACATGACTAAATAAGAACTACATGTAGCCTAATTCGTCCACCAGTCCATCTCTCCATAATGTGACAAAATTCCTATTAGGCCTATAGAAAACATTATTGACTACAGAATCACTTGAATTGTTTCTACGATGTTATCATCAACGATTTTATTCTTCTCATCAACCATGTTAGGCTACTCTCTTCACTTGTAACTTCACTCCTGAACTTGTAATGGCGTAGCAGACTAGCACTACGCAGTACATATGAGTAGGCTACCTTAATACCTCCTTCTTCGCCTTTTACCCACAATGTGGGATTGAAAGCGTCACTTTACACGATTACTAAGTTAATAAGAAATACCCCCGCCGCAGAAAACCTGCAGACTAAGGGAATTTCCATTTGCCTGATTGGATTTGCACTAAAATGTCTACTTAAAAATATAACATTTATTTCCTATTTAAATAGAATTAGTTTAACAAGTACTTAGGTTTGCTGCATCAGGGAGGGTATTAAAATATATATATGTGTCCGTTTTCACGAGAAATCGAGCAAAAATGATCCGATTTTGATGAAATTTGGTACAAACCTATATTTATTCGAACGAGTTCGCGAACCAGCACGATCGGACCATGGGAACAGGGGTTTACGGGGGGTTTTATGGGGTTCCCATTTTTGACCCAAAAAACATAAAATTTAGCAATTTCTTTCCAAACTATTTTGTAGAGCTTACAAAAACAAATAATTTAGTATATTGAAGCGTTATTATGCGCCTAACTTAATGGTTACGGAAAAAATTCCAAAAAAATTAAAATTTAAAATTCCCATGTTATTGTTATGGAGAACAAGTAAAACTGTTGTAGTTTGCTTGTTTATGAACATATTTTGATCAAATTTTTTCATTTGTTAAATTAATATAATTTTAATGCCGATTTTGGAAGTACTATAATTAGACCACATACAGTTCTTCCTTACAATTGGTGCTTCATGGTTTTCACAAAGCAATTTAAATAATTATAACCAACTACAATTTGGTCTCTGAGCTTTAAATAAATCAAAGCTAAATGTCTACCATTTTTTTTTATGTTAATAGTTAGGCCTAGTAAGAAATAAAAACATTTTCCCAATTTGATCAAAATATGTTCATAAACAAGCAAACTACAACAGTTTTACTTGGAAGTATTATAATTAGACCACATACAGTTCTTCCTTACAATTGGTGCTTCATGGTTTTCACAAAGGAATTTAAATAATTATAACCAACTAGGATTTGGTCTCTGAGCTTTAAATAAATCAAAGCAAAATGTCTACCATCCCTTTTCTACCATTTTTTTTTTATGTTAATAGTTAGGCCTAGTAAGAAACAAAAACATTTTCCAAAATTGATCAAACTATGTTCATAAACAAGCAAACTACAACAGTTTTACTTGTTCTCCATAACAATAACATGGGAATTTTAAATTTTTTTGGAATTTTTTCCGTAACCATTAGGCGCATAATAACCAGGGTTGGTACTGATTTTGGAAAATGAAATTCCCTGACTTTTCCAGGTTTTCCAGACTGATATTATACTTTTTCCAGGTATACCGTAAGACGATATCGAATAGTCAAAATCAAGAATTATTAGAAAAAATGTAGGCCTAAATAGTTTACTCATAAAACCAATAAGAAAAGAACTAAACATCTGGAATCTGGAAAATTAAGAGTACCAACTAACTTAACCTCACACTTTATCTTCTACTTGGCCTTGACTTGACACTAGCAGATAGACACTAGCTGATACGGTGCTTCTGATACTGAT